CTCAGTCTGGATCAAGATTCGCTTGTGCTGTTTTAAATTCTCCTCCAATTAAAAAGAATTTGACAATGTTAGGACCTCGCGAAGCGCGGATGGATATGGCCCCGTCCTCCTGCGTGCCTACCCAATCCTGAGGCTGCACAAAAAAAAGTTTTGACATTAAACCTTTATTTGACATTTTCTATACGCCTGGACATGTTGCATTCCTGCCAGATTATTAAAGGTCAAATTCTCCGTTTTTACTACTGACAGAGGGATGCTTCTGGCAGAATTGAACAAAGTGAAATAAACTTGTTTTTAAATAAAGTACATCATCCCCTCCTTCTCATTTTACTGTTACACTCTTTAAGTTGTGCTGTGAGGCAAGAGAGTAATTATAATCAAACAATATGCATGAAATTATAAAAACTCCCTAAAACTGATACGTGAGTGGCACATGTTTTTTGTTTTTTTTCTTATAGCCTGATATTATTGTGAAGTATTTATTGTCCATAGTAATAAGTCCTGAAATCACTAAATCATCTTAAATGCAGATGACGTTCTTTATGGGGACTGGTAGTTGTAAAGTAACCGAGAGTTAATGATCATTGATCTGTTTTACAAGCTTCACTCTCAACATGAAATTTCACTTGTTTTAGCTCTTTTTTTCGAGTGGGCTTACACACTTTTCTTACTGTATTCGGAACCAGTTGCAGAGCAGAGTTTTTAACACCAGGCAAGAGTGTTACACCGAGTATCTCAAAACTACTTTTGTATAAGTTTAGTATTTGTTCTTTTAGGCTCTAAGAGGAGTTGGAATAAGTTGCTTTTGCACATTAGAATTCTGAGTAACCACCACAAATCTAAAAAGAAAGTCATACTATGTCTTATGGGAAACTTATATATAATATTTGTATTTATCTCTTTGATTAAGGCATCTTTAAGTCTTGTCAGCAGTTTATTTTTAGCCATGGTATACCACAGGGATTCTTCCTGGGACCTATGTAGTTTTGCATTTTGACAGGAATTGGAAGGTATATCATCTCTACCACCTACCATAAGCCCATTATAATAAGAGTTTTTATCATTGGAGGAACGTTAAATGGATTTTTACTTCCGCCCATGCACACAACCTATCTTTGCAGAAATAGTTTGAACCGAAGAAACTCAAAACTTAAACCTAACTTTTCACAGCAAAAAATGAACATTATAGCCTTCATGGGCTGTTGTATTGAACCACATTAGTTTAAGAAACTGGGAACTGCCTGTAAAGTTTAAGTTCTAGTTTATTCGACATTATGAGAAGAACATCAAATATACACACAACTGCAAAAGATGTCAAGAACAATACAATAAAGTCCAAGTCTAATTTTCATTGTGGTCATGAATGTAAAGACAGAAAAGATGCAGGACACAAATAAAGTCACTCCAAGTCAAACATATTATAATTCAACATGCAGAAACATGAGCATACCTGCAACAAAATATATTAGTCTATAAATTAACATGTTGTAAACAGTGGTGAAGGCTCACTCAGGTCAAGTAGAACTAAAATAGAACATTCAAGAGCTAAAAGAGGACTGTTTGCAACTTGAGTAACTCAGTGTCTGCACCATGTTAAGAGCCGAGATCAGAACAGAAGTGTTCAAACAAAGTTTTTAATTTGATCTCATACTCATGATATGACAACACATGAGCGATGGTAAACCTGGTAGATACTTGCAGGATCCTTTTTTAAAAAAAGTTTAAAGAAAAAATATTTGTGGGTTTATTGCAAATGTATGATACTTGATAGAAATGTCATTCAACCACAAGAGATTAAATAAAAGTTAGTACCACACTTAATGTTCTCAGGGCTACTATATTGATTATATGGGTTCTAATGTTGCATTAAGTTGGCTATAAGGTCACTTTAAATGTCAGTAATTATTTAAAAACTATATTATGTTGATATCACAGTGGATTAAGAAAAGAATAAAGATATAAAAATGTTTATATTGGTTTCTGTAAAATCACAATTGAGCATTACCTATAGACATAAAGGTCTTTGTAATATCTTTAATATCGAAATATTTTCTGTATATTTTTTGCGTTTTTCGTGGATTCAAACCAAACAGAGACTTCCTCGGGATAGAACCGTCTCCTCTGCTGCACTCCACAGTTTGAAGAGGTTACGGTCTGTGTGACTGGGTAAAATCTCCTGTTGTAGTCAAAGGTATGGAGGCATGAATGACATGTGTTGGCCCCTCCTCTCCTGCTGCTGTGGTGCGCTGCAGAGTTGAAGCGCAACAGCCCGGAGAGCGCAGCAGCAGCGACTTCACCGCTGCAACTTTGGTGAGTTGGATAAAGCCCCCGTTTTATGAAAGAAATCACCCAGAAAGAGGTTTTCCCTTGCTGCTTGTGTTTTAGCGCTTGAAGCTGTGTGTGTGCGTGTGTGTGGAGGCGGTTTGTGTTTGGCGGTGGGACTACTTTATCTCTCTCTCCTTCTCTCTGTCTCCGGGTAGATGACAGGGTTTTTTGGAGCCGTCGATGAGCGCGTTTGAAGTGCCTTGCTGGTGAAGACAAGGGAGTCGAGTGTCGACCTGCGGTTCCCCCTCTACCAGTCGGATCAAAATGAATCTCCTGTAAGCAATTTTCCTCTTAAAAATCACGCTCCAAACTGATTTATTCAAAGTTAGTTTTCGGGCTTCGCAAGCAGCCCGAAGCGGTGGTCGAGGCTTTGGGTCTCCATATGAGCGCTGCTCCGCCGCAGTTTATCTACCACATAATCACTGGGAAAAACCAACTAATCAAAGTATTTATTTCTCTTACAGGATTTGTGTGATAGGAGTTGCCTTGGCAGTGGGATCTACGCACGGAGTAAGTCCCATTTGTTTACTATTACACTCCTTCAGGTGAAGTGGCTCTCCGCTCGGTTTATTTAGAGCACCGATGCAGCATAAACCGTGAAGCTGAATATGTTTGTTTTGTTGCATTTTGACTGTGTAATGTGCTGGAATTGATCCTTTTAATGCGCGTAAATGGCTCAGCTGACCCAATGGGACCAAACGGGGAGTCCAATCTGCTTGGAACAACTTTAGAAGATACGATTTAATACTCCAGCGTCCACTTGTTGCATTAATTATATGTTTATAAAGTGACTGTCATGCGTGTGTTACCCACAGCAGAGACCTGCACTCTGCACAGGTCTCTGTAGTCCTCCATGCGTCACGCTGTGGGTGCCTTCAGCCTGCCGCATGAGGAGACACATTTATAAATATGTCTTATGCTCTCTCCAATGCTTAAAGGACACTCCCAGTCCGTGTTCTGTGGTACTTTCTACTCTCATTTCATAAATGAAACTTCCAGGTGCGTTCAGTGCCGCACCGTTTGTGCCAAACTCCCTCTTAAACTATGTGGGTCATTTTTTTTTAGAGCGTTGGTGTGAAGTTTGCATTTATAAGTAGCCCAAGGGTCAGAAAAAAAGCCGTTCATATTTGAGTGGGCCCGCTCAGAGTCATTTGCAATTCAGACCCCGCCCCGCTGATGAATATTTAGGATAAGGAGATTATTGGGGCAACTTTTTTTTCCAAGCCACACCTATGCAAGACATCCTACTGCTGAGGGCCACATCTGCTGCAGCAAGAGAGTGCAAGCAGACAGGGCTTATCTGCTTCCTTCATGCCACTCAGAAGTCACAAATTGCATTCTTTAAACTTTTATATTCTAGCCTGTTAGAGCATTTTAAAGTGCTGTACATCTGTTTTTCTTACTTTCTAATTATTATTTGCTGCTTCCTATCATGTGGAGTTTTTAACTCAAATCTTACTTTTAAGATAATGCTTTCATAACCCACCGGCCACTATGCAGTAACTGTGGATTAATACATGAATTCATTGACTAGTACAGTGAAAAATTAACCCATGTGTCTCCAAATGTAGAATTTTGGTAACACTTTAACCTATAGCATTTATAAGGTTTATAATGCAGTTTTAACAGACAAAAGAGCATTTTTAGTGTTTGTTCATCTCATATGAAGCCATCTTTTATAGTATTTCTGTGTTTCACTATTACTGTCTTCCATGATCTGTTTACATGGGTTGTAGTTGTGGACAAATACACCAATAACAGCTCACAACTACATTACAGTGTGCTATAAAGGGTTTATGAAAGTTTGTGCATTGGGTCATCTGGAGAAGACATTGTCACAAAGCTGGAAACATCTGTTTTTTTCTTAGCTCATGAAATTTGACAGTTTGGAGACACATGGTTTTAACAATTTCCTATACAAGTGCAGCTCTGTAGGAGAACATCCACTAAATTAATAGAGGAAGATTAAAATAAACTTTATTGTGACAACTTAAACTGACTCGTGGGTCAGGTTAAGCTGTGAAGACGATGGTCAATGTAACACTACACCCTTCACCTCCTGTATTAGAATAAGAAAGAGCAGTGGTGTTTGATGGTGTCATTCAGACTGATAGGGGGCAACATGGCTTCTTTCTTGTTAGTTTGGCCAGACCTTTGTGGTTGGAGGAGAATCAAAAATGTGTGCTGTTTCTGATTAATATGTGCACAGCATTTATCTGATGTTGGGTAAAAGCTTATAAAGCTTAAATTTCACTCTTTTAGAAGTCTTTAAAACCTTTATGAGCGCATGGGATTGTCATCAAGTAGTGACAAAATACCATTTCATTCAAAGTGTCAAGTATTCAAAGTAGCAATACCTCAATATAAAAATACTCCATTACAAGTAAAAGTCTAGCATTCAAAATTCTACTTGAGGAGAAATACAGAAGTATTTTTGCAGAAATATACTTAAAGTACTGAAAGTAAAAGTACTTATTATGCAGAAACATGTCCTTTTTGAGTGTCATATTTTTCTATATTTTATAATTTGTTTCAATATGTAAGTAGTATATTGTTGTGGTTAGTCAAGTCAGTGCTAATATCAATGACTTTATATATTAGCTGGTGGTTAAATCTGTAACAGTGCACCATATTGGAGTACCATAAGCTGATAAAATCTTAAGTAACTAGTACTTAAAGTAAGTAAAGTGGAGAAAAAAGTAATTTTTCCCTCTGAAATGTACTGGAGTAGAAGTATAAAGTAGCATCTGATGATAAGTACTTGAGTAAATGTACTTAGTTACATTCCACAGCTGCTTAAAATATCATACTTCATCATCCTTCCTTCCTTTATCATCCTCAACCCTGGGGCTGAACTTTATCATAGAGGGACTCAAGCGCAGCAGTGTTAGTGCCTTGCTCCGCCAGCTGAGCGACAGGTTGTCGTCGGCTGCGACAGAGACGCTGACGGTGAACATTAAAGCGAATCAGCAGCCGAAAGCTTCCTGTGTCTCAATGGGACTCGGCTGATGGAGTTGCATTGACTTTGAATTGACTCCTCCACCCACTTCCCACCTCCCCGTTGTTTTGTGTTGTATATGCGTGCGTGTGGGTGACTGGGTGGCTGAGTGGACGGATACGTGTGTGTGTGTGTGGGGTTGAGTGACTGACAGATGAGTTCATTGGGTGGTCTGGGCTGCCGTAACCTTGGTAACTGGGTCTTTGGGTGGGTATCGCTGTGGTGCGGCGGCGGTCCAGCCCAGGCTGAGTCAAGATGTGAAGTTCCTCTCCTTTCTGTGCTACTGTACACTGATAGCAAAAGAAAGGTCTTTATCTGGAGTTATCAGTGTCATCAGAGAAAACTAAACACGCTTGTTTTAAGCTTACTAGATGAGACAGCGATGGCATTGTAGCGAGCATGAGATAAGATCAGGGTAACTTTGTTTGTAAGTCACAGACATAAAGACAATTAGTTTTTAGACTGCAAACAACACCTTGAGTGCTGTATAAATGTCCTTAATACGGGAAAGCCAGGCCATACACTGTAATAATATATCTTACAGTTCATACTGGCTCTCGTTTTCCATGGAATTTGCTCCAGAAGTTTTTATACATGAGGCTACTAGACCTAATTTTAGTTGCAACTAAACAGAATTAGCATTTAGCAGCAGCTCTCATTGGAATAATACTGTAATATACAGTCTAATACACCTTCAAAATCATGCTTTAGTTGCCGTTAGTGGAAATTGGAGGGAAAACAAATGAAAAATTTTGTTTTCTGGAATGATATGTTAACATATTTAATGTAGTTTAAACATAAATATGAACATAAACATACTTCTTAGGTGTGTACAACCACACTTTTTTTAAGAGATTTCATTTGATGCAACAAAGCCAAGCAGCCATTTTGTTAGACCTCCGCGTACATAAATCGTTAGCCTGGTCGCGGCAAGTAGTGGCCTATTGTTTATCGTGCTAGCTCGCGAGTTTGCTTGCTAGTTCTGACGCTAAAGACAGATTGTTCAGGCTAAGTGAGCAAACTCTCTTTTTAACTAGAAATGTACTGAATCACGTCAACCTACTGTACATTTAGATATAGGTGTGTATTTTTAGCATTATTTTTTATCATTAGTAATCAAACACGCACCACAGTTCTTTCGGTCGGCTCACTTTATAGCTTGGTTGTTATATTTATAGAGTTTTAATGTTGGCCTCAGTGCTAGGCTTCACCACTGGGACATCAATGATACAACTTTTGCTGGAAAACTATGTTTCAGTGAACATACTGCGAGAGAAAACCTTTCAGAGCTGCTCCAGAGTGTCTGTAAGGGCTGACACAGCTGTTGGCACAGGGAAAACATCACACACAGGTGAGGAGGAATAGTGAAGAGAGGGGAGGAGGCATGACGGGAAGGAGAGGAGGCAGTCAAAGGTTGGAGTGTTAGGAAATCATCCAGAAATTTATTCTATTACATTTGTTTAGCCCCAGTTGGCATGCGAGATGAATGGGTTGTACACATTAGTACATACTGTTTAATCTTTGCAGAGGAAGGTGATTTTTCTAAATTGAGGCTCATTTTGATGTCCTCTGAGATCTCTTCTGGCAGTAGATGTTGTCATTTTGCAGAATAGAAATAATGCTGTTGTGTTTTTTTATGATATTTTGAATGTTTTCGATGCAGTTTAGCACATTTGAAAAACTGGAACCAGCTAATTTGGACATTTTATCTTAAAACATACAATGTAATGTAATTTATAGTCATATAAAGTGACTTCAGTGCATTTGTGGATTTCTGAGCATATCTGCATAGGTCTTTTGTAGTTTTTTTGATATTTGGTTTCCTAACATGGTCACTTCGTAAAAATGGCATTTAACTTAAGGTTGATCTGTGTTCCAGTGTTCAATATTAGTGATATTAAAGGTACCAGAGGTAGTTTTGCTGCGTAAATGATGCCGAAAACTTGCTGAGTTGTATGGTACAAACTGCAGGGACAACCATTTACTCCCCCTCTCCCCTCCTCTCCTCTCTCCCTCCCTCTGTTGAATTCCTCCAGAGCTTGGCAGGACTTGTCAGGCTGTCTCCCACTCCCTGCAGGTGCTATAGGCTGGAACATTCCAGAAACACTAAGTGAGGCGACTGATCACTGCTTGATTTGTGGTCGCGAGACCCTCCCCAACTCAACTGAGTCCCCCACCTCCTCCTTCCTTTCCCCTGCTGTCCTCCTCCTGCCTCCCTCATCCGATCATTACCCCCCTCACACCCCCTTTTCCTATCACTTTTTGCCCTCGCTGCTCCCACAAGTCAGGCAATCCATTACCAGTTGATTTGTGGTTTGATTTGCGAGTGGTGCTCCCCCACAGCCTCCTCACCCTTCCTGTGGTATTACAGCCCAATTTATTCTTTCTTTTCTTCATTATTTGTATATAAGCTTCCACTATTTTTGTTTGCTAGATTTTAAATTTCTGTAACTACAAAGAAATAACCACATTTTTCTTGAATCAAACCTCATTGTATGGAAATGAGGTTGCA